ATACAGGAGTTAGTTTCTACTTTGAATACTTTGACCACTCATTTGGGGTCAATTTACCACCTTAAAGGTGGACCCCTTAACAAGCTTCAGAAGGGTGTATTGCTCGGTGTTACAGAGGCAGCCCTGTGAACACCTGCCAGTCACTGCTGCCTTTGAATTAGTGAACATTTCCACTTCTTACTACAAACCCCAAAGAGCAATCTACTTTCTTCTACTGCTGGAATAAGTTATTGGCAGGAACAGTTTACAAATATTGGAATACACCAAGAAAGAAGGCAGTGCAATTCTTTCTGCTCTCAACTGCCTCAGCTACAATATTAACAACATTTAAAAAGCCATGTAAACTCAGTGGATAGGGTTCCAAACAAAAACAATGTGGTTCCTAAATAAAGAATTTCTCAGTGGAGACTTGATTCAAAATAAAAACCTTTCTTGAGATCCATATCCAGTTCTGGGCTTTTACAATCAAGTGCACCCAGAAGAGTATCTTTCCCCTGATGCTATGCAGATGAACAAAAAATAAGACATATGAAATCTCAGTGAAACAGGAGAAGTTAAGAAAGTGAGTAATGAATGTTACTGAATAGTAAAGAAAGTAGTAAAATGTAAATCATCTTTTAACTCACTTTTAAGTGGTCTTAGATATTACTTACAATACAGTCAGTAATCATTGCAATTCTTACAGGAACATGACTTTCAAGCCATAAATTTTTGTATTAAAACGTTCAATAGTAAAAAAATGATGCATCATTGCACCAGCAGCAAACTGCTAATTCTAGTTAACATTTCTTGTAACAAAGCCGTCAATTTTTCAAACAAGTACAGCTATTTAAATGGATGTAAAGGAAGCACCTGAACACAGTTTTTCAACTACAAAAAATACCATTCTAACCTTACGAACATAAATCTATGATACATATATTTATAATTATTCTAAGCTTTCTTAAAAAAATTCATGCAAGCACCACCACTTTAAGACAGGCACAGTGAATTACATTAAAATGTACTAAACGACCTCTCTCGGTAACATTATATTCAATGTGCTTTTTAAAAGACTTTTTAAATTACTTTGTTCCACAACATCTGCACACACCTATCTGGTCCCTGCAAAAGCAGGGACTATTTTGTTTACGGGTGTTTTTCATAATTATCTCAGCAGTTGTTGAAGTCAAGATTTTTTATATTTAAATCTGCAGGATGCAGTAGGGGGTTTCTCAGATACAGGCAAATCAGAAGTCCTCCATAAAGTCCTGGTATTTTAGCAAGTGGCTCCCACCTTATCCTGAGAACCAGCTCTATTACATTTTTACTAGACCTAAATGTCTAGAGTTAGCCCTACACAATCCCCAAAATATCAGTCATACCAACCAATATTACTATAGTAGTATCACAAATTATGAAATATTTGAAAAGCAATGTCCAACATTTCTGCCCACTCATCTACAGCCTAGCATAGTCTAGGAAAGATATGATCACAAGTCTGGGTTTAGATAGTTATTTGTATTTTTTTCAAGGCCAAAAAGTCATATTCATCTCCTTTTTAAGTATTTGTGCAAAGGTGAGCAAATGAAAAGCTGAAGATTATGTTTTTCTCCTAAAAACACTTAACTATACTGCAGTGATAACTGGAATCACTTTCAGATCCTTATAAAATACCCAGTTTGTCATCCTTTCCTTGCTGAAAACTATGTGAAAAAAATGCTGGAGAAAACCTAGATTTTCTTCATCTTTATACACCAATTTCCTCTCCCTAGTATTCAGTACTGCACAGTCTCAATGTTTTCTCCTTATTTTCTCTCTGCTTTAAAGCATCTTTATGAATCCTAGAATCTGGAGAGTGAAAATTGAAAGTGACAGGTCATTTTTAAACATTGCTTATCATACAAATCCAAAGCAACACAATTACAGGGGAGTTTAAGTGATATTTTATTACAAACCATAGTGAGCAGAAGCAGCTAAATCCTAAGAAAGAGAGATTCATCTGGGAACAATTAGCATTTCCTCTATAATTGCTTCACAGAAAAATATGAGAGTTATTTCTAGAGAGTTTCAACTTGCAAAGCTTCAGTAGTTTTATTATCCCCACCCATTAAATATATTTGGTAGCTGGCTGTAAACACACATACACCGTTGCAATCAAAATTTTAAACTTTCTAAAATATATCATTGTTATAACGAGCCTTCAGGCAAAAGCAGAGAATAACAATTCTGAGAGAAAAACAAAGATTTCATTGCACAGACTATCGGTCTACAAAATTTGATTTCCAGAGATAAATACTAATGGAGAAAGTGTCAAGATGCCAATTATCAAGCTCCAGATTTCTAAAATATAATCTGGTGTAAGAGAAAAACATTGCTTTTCTTTTAAACTTTGCTATAGGGTTCTTAGAAAATACTTTGATACAAAAGAAGGGCAATAGTTAATTTACTTTGTTGTATGAGATTATGCAATAGCTTGTTGAATGAGCCTGTAATACCTAAATATCTTCAGGTAAACCTATAAAAATTGCTTGACTTCCCATTCTAAAATACTAAGAGGAGATTAAGTTCTCATTTTTGCTGCTGCCACATTTTAAGTGCGTCCTTTTGCTATTTCAGAAAGTACGGGTTTTATTAGCCGTAACACCTAAAGAGGTCAACAATGAGACAATCAATCATAAAACCTCTTCATTTTCAACAGCATTATTGTTTACCAGAAAATATGCATACGTTTTCATTGCCTCCCTTATTAAAGAAATTCTAGATCCGAAAACAAAGTTTGATTCCTATGTTATTTAATATTCTTTAACATTTATAGCATATTGATTAAAAATCAATGTAGACTTGGATTATCCCTGTAGTACAGATAAGGCTTTTATCTTTTGTTATCTGTAACAGAGCTTTACCACAAAACAATACCGAAGACTCAAAGGCATCAAAGATACCAAAGATGGCACTTCTTACCTCGAAGTTTCTTTCTAAAACTTACAATTATTGCCAAAGTTCACCGTTCAACCTCTCAACAATTATAATCACAGAAAGATTTCTTAACAGAAGTCTAAAACACAGATAAAAAAAGTAAAACTTCTCCCACTCCTTTATAAGCAACATCCACTATAATCCCATCACTAATTACTAACCATGTTTTACACCATTTGGCCCAAACTACTAGAAAATGCAAGTAAGACATTTCTACAACTTTGCTGCTGTTCTTTGCTATACTTGCAGTACTTCAGCCTGCAGTGACAATTGTGTTCCCTAAGAAGCCCATCAATGACTACCAAGGCAGTCACTCCGAAACACTCCTGGGTGTTGTCTTTTTAGCCAGATTTTCTTCAGTGAAGAATAACAGAATGGTTTGAGTTCGAAGGAACCTTAAAGGTTATCTAGTTCCACTCTCCCTTGTCATGCAAAGGGATGCCTTCCACCAGACCAGGCTTCTCAAAGCTCAAAAGAAAACAAGGACTTACAGTCTTCTTTTTAAGTGCTTAATGTTCAAATCTGCTCCTAGAACTCTTCCAAAGACATTTTAACTTCCAGTGCCTGTAAAAAGATGGCCTGGACGTTTTGGGTTTGCTGAGGTGAGGACCCTTGTCAGACTATAAAATGAAACCAATTTAAAGGTGTTGAAAAAAGTCTTCTGGAGGCAGCAACTTTCACTTTAAGAAAGGGCCTGGGAGACTTGACATTGCTTAAGAAAATAAAACATTCTCTTTCTATGTGGTATGAAATGCTTTCCATACATCAGCATTACTCTTATACGTGATATTCCTACAAGGTTTCACTTTTAACAGCTGGAGACTAACAGAACTTTTTATGGTACAACAAGTGCATCGGATTGTCTCAATATCCTGTCAATATTCAATCCCTCTCAAACCCTTGGTAAGCTCTTGGTGTATCAAAGCAACTTCCAGCAGCAGAATGTTTCTCAGTGTAATTCTTCACCGCATGAGAAAATTTTTTCACATAAATATTTGAGGTCTGTTTAAGAAAGGAGAAGTATCCAGCAAGTAGATTTATGGACATTGTTACACTTTACAGATACCACTTTAGGTTTCTAGAAGAATAAGGGAAAGAAGAAGACACCAAAATCACAAAAAAAGAAAGAGATGAGCTGCAAGAGAAAAATTAGAACATCCACAGGAAAACATACCAAGTGCTACGATCAGGTTGCTATTGTATGGCAAATCCAATGACTAAAGGAAGAGCACAGAACAGACACGTGCACTTGGAGCTAAAATTTCCCAGCAAGACTGAGAAATCTAAAATGCCAAAGCCAAAAACTGAGAAAGGACATAATTTTGTATTTTAAAGCAAAATCTAAAAGCCACCGTGATTTTGTAAAGGAACTCAACTGAATTTAAATGAAATTCACCTAATATTTTAAATTTACTAAGTGAAAATGCTCATAATGTCTTATCCATAAAGTAATCATGGTGTTGAATGCATGGTTGCTTGTGGTATTCATGTTTCAAGTTGTTCTAAAACAACAACATTATAAACTTTAGGATGAACTGTGATATATATAGTAGTTATCTCTCTGATGTTTACCGATTATTCACTTGTCCCCTTTATGTGCAGTCTGCAGATACGAATGAAAAGGACGTTGTCTTTAATGATTCTGCTTGTGCAGGAGAAGAGAACATGTATTTATACAGAACTTTCAAAAGTTAAATCAAGTTAAATCAATTCACTTCATTTGTGCAGAAATTGCACTGTAGCATCCTTCCTTTTCCTGGGAAGGGTTATACTTCTACTACGAAGTAGGGGAAAGGATCATTTCCATCTAACAGATGGAAGGATACTCACTACATTCCTGAAGCAGACAATTAGTACAGTGTAAATATACAGATTACTCTCATGTGTCTGTAAACACATTCACACTTGAAAACTCAAATGTGAACGTAAACTAATTCTAGCAGTTCAGGCTGGGAGCTTCCCAGTATGGGTGACAAATCCAGCCAGAATTTTAGACAGACAGTATTAATTCTCCTTTAAAGACAATAAGTAGTCAGCCTGGATTAAAAAGGATTTTGTTTTATTTGGAAAAAGGCACACACTCTTTATTATTAAACATGTATCTTTTACCTGCAATACTAAGAATCTCAACATCATTTTTAATTTGATACCACAAGTATCACCATAGCTAGTCAATGCTCAAAACTTAAATGGATATCATTTATTTATAGCTTAATTATGCTTAAACTTTCTAAATGCACAAAACGAATATTTTTTTTTAAATTACTCCGCACTGCGAGACTATTTTCAGAGGAAAACTCAACTATCACAAGTCTTCCAGAATAGAAAAAATCACAACTAGCCCTGAACAAGAAGAGTTACATCAGAAATACAGAAATAAAAGCAAAAAGATTAAATTAACAAGGTAATAAACATCTGTTACAGTACAAGGAGAAACAGTTGACAGAGATTTGCTGCAATAAGTCAACATACTTGGAAGATCATCAGTTATATACACACCAATGCTCTTTTTGCCCTGGATATATTTAAGTAGTCCTAAAGAAATGCTTAATAACAGAAGTAGAAATGCTTCTAAAATTGCTGGTGTCAATACCTCTTGCAGGTACTTACGCCAGACAGACTGTCATGGAACAGATCCGTAGTGAACTTCTAGATCAAGTTAAATTACAAGATCCAGAACTAATTTGTTTCCCTTTAAACAAAATTTTTAAGTATAATCCTCACCTCCCTAGTCTCAGCAGCTACAAGTACTTAAAAACGAAGTCATGGATTGCAGTGGCAATTTCTCCAACTAAAACAGTTGTTTCTTATTAAAAACATCAGATGTTTATGATTGTTAATACTGACGCACATGAAGAGACTCAACCGACATCTTCATAAGAGGTCTGCAGTCCAAGAAATACTAACACTCAGTAATGGTATCCTTATTTATTAATTGGGTATTTGTTTTCCAGTAATTAATTACCTTTATTTTGGCTACTAATATTGATTTGTTGCAATTCAAGCTGAAAATAGCCATACAGAACATACAGAAAACCATAAAACGTCTGGAGGCATGTAACTCTGCTCTCCTAGTAAAATGTTAATAAGTAATTTGATCTCCAATACTACTTTTGGTATCCTTTAAGGTTGCAGGTTTCCAAGGTGTAATGATATAAGTTGAAAAGAGCTTTGATGTAGGTTTATCAGTTGTTTTTGACATAAAAAACCCGCTATATCTTTTGTAGTGCTTATGCCAGTCACAAATTTTTCCACGGCTAATTCTCAGTACAGCTGGATAAGAAAAAAAAAAATCCTTAATTAGGTTGTACTTCCCACTTTGGAAGTCACTGATTTATTTCTTGTTATCCTCTTTTCTCATTCTACCGCTCAAAGTCAGAGCCAACATACAACAGAATTAATCTCCAATTGTGTCAACACAAATCTGGCAATTAACCATGCAGAGTTTTGCTTTAAAGACAGAAAAAACACTCAATTGTAAATATAGACTGTATATTAATTTTCAGTTAATATACATATCAAGAAACACTTGATATTATTTGAAAAATGAAGAGAGAGACATTTTAATTTCATTATAAAATTCACCAGTTTCTAAATATGGTTGAAATGCTTTTTTAGGGAATAAATCCCTCAACCATTAGTGCACATTATCAGTGCTAAAAATATTTCTGGACAATTTTAACCTTCAATTCTGCATGTAGTTCTGTTTTTCTGTACTACAGTATATGACCATAACAGAACCACCATTGTGCATTATCAAAATAGGAATTATGTGATGTTCATAGTAAAGTATCATGAAAAAAATTTTCTCTTATTTGCTTTAGTCAATGAGAGTACTTTCCTGTTTAGATTTCCTAGATGACTCTGGTTACCCAGAAACACACATGGTTGACCTAAGCAGTTTGGCATGAATTTTAAGACATGAAAGTTCAGAAATCTCCAGAGGACTTACCCATTCACTTAATATTGCATAGTAACATCCTCCTCCGCTCACCCACCAAAAGAAGACCCCTAGTAAATTAACTTGGCCTAGGTATGTTAATACCAGAGTCATTCAGGAATCATATAACCTTCCCAAGAGACACGGGTTCCCACTTCCATCAGTCTCTCTGCTTTTAAATCACAGAACTGAGAACAATGGAGATGTTGGACTGGCCATGGGTTAGTGAATTGCTAGTAAGGTAGTAACTTAACACCTTTAAATCACCTGGGATAAAAACATATCCTATGTTTGAGCTTGACTCTAAAGGTACCCTACTGAAATAAAAGGACAATGGCAAGTAGCAACTAGACAATCACTAACATTCTATATAATACATAGTTTTTCCTAGAATCTACTAAATTTCTCACAAGAGTGATAATGAATTGTTATTGACACACTTTCTTCCAAAAAAAGCCCTCTAAATCTTCCAAACTGTCAGCAGAAGTGTCATGCTTCATGGTACAATTTGTGGGAACTTTTAAAACAATGAAGAGTTTTAGACTTGTATAATAACACACAGCAATAATAAGGTCCCGAGGCACTTGATGTGTGAGTTCACAATGGTTTTGTTCACATGTTCTGCCAGAGAATTATACTGGTTTCAAATATTTGCAAACTTCCCTTGCTAGCGTCTCTTCAAGGCAGGGTATCAGAAGCATTTCTGCCAAATACTTCTGTCAGTTGTATGTCCAACGTAAAATAAATAATTCTAATTTTGGCATTACTGTTGCTAATTTTTAGTCAACACACATGCAAACCGAGATAATATGAAGACAAGTAACTCTTGTTTATGTTTTGTTGTTATTTTTCTTTGGCTTAAAATGTATATGAAACACAGTTCAGGAAATATCTCATTTACAACTTCATATTGCTATCTGTGTGTTCTGCAGTAAAACCTAAATGTTGCTTCAATATGTTTGACATCCTATGCTGTACATCAGTGTGTGTATTTCCTACCTAGTAAACAGAGAAGGAAATCAGATGTTCTTCCAGAGAAAGTTTCATATTTATTCAAAAGGCATACATCTCAACTGACTTTTTTATTACTTGAAATTTTCAATTTCATGAAACTTAAATTGAGGGACTTCTTACTGTTTCAGTAATATTACAAACAATACTCATTAGTGTATATTCTAGGGCCTATACAAACCCTCATACCATTTAACCGCCTGAGTAAAGGTTTCAAATGATGTCCCATGAGATCTCATCTACTGTGAAGGAAAACATCGAGGCATCCTGGACTATACGTGTCTTGAAAAATATTTTAAAGCTTTGAAAAGTTCTTCCTCATCAGAATGCACAAATGCAAAATAACCTATCCTATATCCAAAACAATCCAAGGTGTAATAGCTGGATTTTAAATTTAAGAAACAGTCATTAAATACACAATATGAAAACAACTGGAAAATCTGAAAAGGTGATTGTTATATATATTATATATATAAAAATATAACAATATTGCTATATTGTTACATTTTAACATTGCCTTTAAGTTTTAAAGTGACAAGAACTATATTCATGCAACTTTCTGACACCAAACTTCAGTATTGTAAGAAAAAGACTGGACTCTCTGAAATATTTTTATTTCTAGTGTCCTGACTCAAAGGACATGTACATTTAATCTGATCCAGAATGAAAAATACACTGTATTAAGATGACAAAGTACAAAAAAAATTTCAGTCTAACAAAAATTTTAAGAAGAGAGTTGTTAATTGAGGTCTGTGGTTAAAGTCTAATGAAAATTTTGTCTGTTATCATGTTATAGAAGAATAAGTACAGTCATAACTGGATTGTAACATCTAACCAGGTACTTTTTAAACACCTTGTTCGTTTAAAATCAAGGATAAAAAGGGGGTCTTTATACCATTCGATGTTTCAGAAAGGCATGAATCACTAGTATGCCCCTCTACTTTTGTTATGTACAAAAATTTTCACTCAGCTTAAAAAAAAATAAATCAAAAAACTCATATTGGTTATGATCACTACAAATTTTAAGATGTCAGCTTTAAGCAGGAGAGTATTGCAGAAGTGTCTGCTAAAATGAAAGCTCCAGGCTTTGTCTAAATTCTCAACACAGCAAACAAACTGTCTGACTGCAAACTTGCATTTCATTGCTAAAGCAAAAGCTATAAAATAAACTGCAGTGCACAACTTCAATATGATTCTAAGAACTTATTAATGCTGATACCAGAGGTGATTTATTTGGCTTTTTGGTGTTCTGTGTTTGCTTTTTTTTTTTTTTCAATAAAACCTTCCCCTCCTGACAGAATACTGTTAAACACAGAAAAAAAATTGCTACTCTCTACTACTGTCAATCTTTCAGATACAGTAAAAAAAACTTCAACATACAAGAGTTCTAGAGCAAGTCATCAATCTGCAAAATGTTATACATCAGTAATAAGGCATCCACTTTACAGCTGTTTAAACAAAAAAGGAAGCTTTTCCCAAAATATATATTTTGGACCTCTGTAAACAAAGTTTATATGTATTGCTTCCATTCATTTAAAAAATATACACCCACATGGATTGAAAGTGATCTTGGTGCTATGAATCTTAAATTATTGCAATTTATGCAGATGTAATCTGAAGATACAAAACCCAAATATTTTTGAACTTAATATTTTGAAATACATCAAAAAGTTTAATTATGCTTATGTGAAAAGAAAGCTAAAAATATACCCCAAATTTTATGTCATTTCATTGAACAAGTACTATGAAAATAAACATTCATCTGGTTTCCTAACAATAAATATACAAACAGTTATTATAACATACTGCAACACACAGGAAGTATTACTACATTGACCTTAATGTTCACTCAGTAGTTTTTAAATCTTTCCTCATTGAGGTCTGAATCTTCTACCTTGTCAGCTGTCCAACAACTTTTAAGAGGGTTTTATTTTCTTGTTTCAACTGTTCATTTTCATCTTCTATATCATCTAGGTCCTGTGCAAAAAAAAAGAAGAATAATAATTTCCCAGAACATAAACAAAGTCTCAATTAGTAGCATTAGGAATTTAGCATCTTAGCTCTGACATGAAGAAGATGGGGTAGGGAAGAATTAGTGTCACAGTAGGTACCCTTACAACTGTTAAAACCGGCCAGTTTCCAAGTGTTACTGTAATTACAAAATATTAATATTATATTCCCACATACAAGTACCTTTAAATAGAAATACATTCAGACTAAAGCTACAGCAGGAATTAATGAATAAAGAAACCAAAATAGGATGGGTGTGATTATTTTTCTGGCATATACAGAGAAAGCATTACTCAGATATTGCCTCTGCTCTCCCAGACTGTGCTTGTCTGCAATTATCCCACTCACATATACACATCACTCGTTATTACTGCAAGATCTGCTTTGTGTTTTAAATTAACTAACAATATTTTCAGAAACAGATCTGCCTGTCCATTTTTTGTTTTCTGTGAAAAAAATTAAAATGGATTCTGTAACTTCTGTCTAAACCGCTGAAAGACCCAACAGCACACACAATAATAATGAGCGCTCTAAATAGATTGCTTTCACCCCAAATGTTTGCCTCTTTTCCACAAATTACCATTTTTATCCAGTTCCCATTTTACTTCTTCACTTCCTACCAAGTCTTTTCAAGCCTTTAAACTGAAAAACAGTGAAAATGGCTGCTTAATGCAAGTGTTACTTGAGCAAAAGTAGTTTTAATCTATAAAAAAAACACATGGAAGAAACAGAATGTGAACAAAACAAAGAAAGAAAAGCAGAAAAGTGGTATCAAGAACAGCACTCTAAGGAGAAAAATTAATGACAGGCAAAGGAAAAAGAACCAGAATTCTCATTGGAAATCTTAATGTCTCTTGATTCAAGTCTGCAAAACTCTCCTGTTGCTTTAAGTAATAAAAGATTTTCTTTCTCGTCTCTTTAAGTTGTTAAGTAGCATTTGACATATGAAGCCCAGTTTCTTATTTCTTTTTAGTGAGGTCACTCCAGAAGTGCATGCTAGAGATGATGTGTTTAATTGGTATAATCATTTTTAAAAGCCTCTTCAGTTTGTGAATCCATACCACAATACCTCTGCAATGACTTTATTGTTTTTCTAATCGGAATCAAGAAATCGCTAGCAGAAATTCCTCTTTGCTTCACACAAGTAATGTTGCGTCACAGCATGAATGACTTCCAGGAAAAGCATCTGACCACTCCAGCATAACAGATACAAGTGGCTTAAACAACAAAATATGCAAAGTTTTGATGCTATAAATACAGTTTAATATAAAGAAACACACTTTATATTTTCAATAAAATGTGTGTTTTGGTTTGGTTTGGTTTTTTAGTTTAATATACAGAATACTTTATTTGAACTTGTTAACCTAGCCATTGGATGCCTCAATTAAAGCTTACCTAAAGACCCTCTGTTTAAAATACCGCAACTGACTCAAAAAAAAAAAAAATTACAAGTTTGTGAAATGCTTATGCTGCAAAAAAAACATTCCAAAGATTACTACAAGTAAGAGACTCTTGAATATGAGCCAGGAAAAATAACTGTTGCAGTTTAAATATCTACAGAAACAATGGGCTGAGAGATGCAGGGGATTTTGCCACTTTGAAGTTTAAAGTTTCTTATTCAAAATTACACCGCTAATTTATGCTTATTAGCAAAAAAAGATGCAATAGCAGGAAAGCTTGGACTTCACATACCAAAAGAACCAATAACTATACAACTGACACTAACTGGACTGTAAATCCTCATTGACAGACCCTCTCCAAACACACTTTTAACTACAATGACATCTTACTGAGGTCAGAGATGACTAAGTGTAAACTAGTCAACAGTTGAACTTTGCCTACAAATATTTAAATAGTTTGAGATGCCTTTCCCTTCAGACATTTGAAGTTTTAATGAAGCAATTACCCCTTTCTTACAAAGAACATGGCAGACATACTTTTAATGTCTAATGTCCAATGTAATGGAATGAGGGAATGCCATTTATGGTCTTTTCTGTTCCTCAATATAAATGCAGCTCAGGATTCTTGGAAAAACAGTTTTTTCAGTTGCAACACAAGGTCTTAGACAATCAAGGATTCATCCATGGTCATCAACTGACTGAAACTTGTAGAAAGAGCATTTCTTTAATATGGACTGAGCAGTCAGAAAGCTATGCAGTAAATTGGCTTTTTAAGAAGTTATTTAGAGTCTTTGACATGAAATTCTTTCCATACCCACGCATCTCAACATGCAATAACTATATATTTTGATGAACAGAAAAGCTGGAGAAATACCATGAACATGTAGATGTTCAAATTTAGACACCTCTATTTAGGTTGCCTACGAGTAAAATTTTTTAAAAAGATCTCTGCATAAGCTCCCTAAGGTAAGTTTAGTCCTCAGAACATCCTTCTATCTGAACAGAAGGCTGAAGATCACAACTGTTCTTCCATGCAAAGCATCCAAACCTAGTGCTAGGTCTACAGACTAACACTCCACAAAGAACATATGGATGTCCAAGTGCTGGCTCTTGTGTTCTCAGTTATGATAATAAACCTGAAGCAAATATAACTGCCCTATTAACTTCCATAACTTTCTATCATCAGAATGATGTAGTATTTCTACGGCTTTTCTCTTTCTAAATCCACATGGATAGCCAATACAGAAGAAAACATAAATCCAAGAGTCAATAAACAAGAAAGTAAAGCTGAATGTGTTTTAATGGAAGCATCTCTTGAGACATGGGTTCAAACTTTTTAGAAAAGACAAATTATGCTGGTCACAAAGTCAAAAGGCAGCTTTTTGATCATTAAGAAAAGCCCAAGAGACATGGACACAAATAACTTGCACTCAATGAAGCAAACAGACAGTGTTAAAGCTATGAAGAATGCTGATCTCATGGAGAAAAAAAAATTCCATCCTCTTTTGCGCTTAAAAGTATCTACCAAGAAAGCATCAATAAGATGGCTTTGTAGATCTCATGGAAAGGTACAGTTTTAGTCATGGTATAATAAAGTGGTTTTTGAAAGGACTATATTCTGTTTAATGTTTACTTTCATGTAACAAGCAGAAATTGTCACTGTCCTTAACACAGGCAAGGCACAGACACTGCCTGACTTTACTACAAATGTTCAAAGATGGTTTCTAGCTAGAAACTTCATGGATTTAATTTAGGACATCATACTTCAAATATAGCAGAAAAAAATAACATTGTTTCTGGAACAGCAAACCTCTGTCATAGTCCTAAACCACAAGATTTCAGTGATTTAGGTTATTTTGATTTGTTCTTTCTGACCTTTGAGGCAGGAAGTAGGACATGACTAACCATATTAAATAGCTTTGCCATCCATTATGTAGAAGGAATGAACACCTGCCTTGACTGTAATAATGTCATAATCTTAGATGTGACAGATTCTTTGCAGAATGAAAAACAGCATGAAGACCAATGCCTCACTTAAAATAGAAGTCTCTTCAAAACAGGCAATACCTCATTTATCCTACAGACTAACCTGCAACTTTCTTCATAAAAAAATCAAAATATATGTTTCAGAATAATCTCCTTTCATTCCCAGATTAGTTTGCAAACTTGTGAATGCTGTCCTTCTTTGCCATAGATGAAGAGATGCAAAATGAGATTCTGACATTGTTCATGCAGAGTTATTGCCTCCCCTCACTGCTGCATTGACCAAAGCCATATCTGCACTGGACTAGAAGACGCATATATCCCTCGTACATCCAGGCTCCACACCTCAGCCAGGAAATGCAAGATGAGGTCACTAATCCACTCTACAAAAGAATTTCTGTTTGCCCTTAAAATTGGGGCAACTTTTTTCTATTAACTTTTAAATTTCTCATCCTGTTCCATTTCCAAGCATGTCTCACTCTTCTAACCCCCTCTTTTCCTGCCTTCACATACCTTGCCTGAGTGATGCTACCTCAGGTGTCCTGCCTTCTGACTTGTTCTGCTTTTACTTGGGGTCAACTATAAAGAGTATGAGAATGTGTCAGAATATAAAAAACTTGCTCCCAAGTCTTTTTTAAGAGAATCTAAATTATTATTAGTAATTAAAAGCTGACTAAAATGAAATTAAATTTCTAATTACTTTGAAAAAGTCCTGCGTAACAATTTATTGAGAAAATTGTCAAAACCCCAACTTAATTGTTTCTTGGTATTCTACATACTGAATCTGAAAAGAAGAGACAGTCAAGTGTTTTGCTTTTATAACCTTGCTCTATGAACACTTAGAGCAACAACAAAATCAGGCACTCCAATAACACAGAACTCAGAGAAGTTAATCATGACAAACACAAGTCACCTGGAAAAAATATAACTTATGACATGCCTCTTGAGATCTATGCAATACAAAAGACCCCTCACACTCCACTCAGTGGATGCAGGTGTCTGAAGAACAGAACAGAAAATGCAGAGACTTTTATCCCCTCTTTCTGAAGAAGCTCATAAGAAAGTATTTGCTTACTCTGTTTAATAAATCAATTTCTTCCTTCAGCTTTCCAATTAGTTCCTCTTTGTCCTGCGTCATCTTCATTAATCTTGCATTTTCCTGTCTTTCCTTTGCAAGTTCCTAAAACCAGAATATTCAATGAAGTTGGAAATGTTATTTTTAAGAGACAGTTTAAAGTTTAATACCATTTAAAACAAAGAAAGAAGAACCCACACACACTTAGTTATAATTCCTTTCCTACAGCAAGTCAAACCCACATCTTCAAGTCCTTTTACATTTTAAGTAGCTAAAGAAACGTTCAAGATAATATTTTACCCACAGCAAATCTGTGTGATATCTGATTCAAATGATAATGTTTAAATTAATATTTAACTTAAGCATGAACCCAAAATTGGATAGGGGCCCAGAACAGAAGAAGTAAATGTAAAGTATGAGCTTCCAAATTTCTTATACTGGGAGGCTTAGTCTTATTTATGGTTGGTTTTTTTGGGTTTTTGTTTGGTTTTTTTTTTAACTACCATTAGCAAGGAAGGAAGACTAAATGTTAGATCTATGGGCCTGAATGTGAGAAAAAATGAAAATGTTCATTAGGAATTCAGTAAGTCAGGATTCAGGATACTGAAAGACAGCCCTCAAATCTTCCTCTGTTTTTCATATTAGTGGTAATTTAAGTATTTCAGAAAGAAGTTGATTTAGAAGGGAGGGTTATGGTGTACTTCACTCAAACCAAGGTTCCTCAAGTCTTAAAAAACCAGTAATTTCTACAAAATACAGTTTATTTTCACCCGTTCCAACACTTATTCAAATTGTGTTTACTTAGTAACTGATCCATACAATTCAAGAATATTTGGCAAGGTACCCACAAAAAAATCTACTTCAGAGGAAGACAGAAAAGCTAGTAATAAATTACACAGGTGACATTATTTAGCAAAATACTGGTTTACATGAAAAACTCCACTTTAACATTATTACATTTTCCCAAAACTGTTTGTATGAAGTTAATCTGAAATAATGAAAACTGCTTTAAATATGTATTTTAAATGTTTAAAACTTTAACAACTGGATAGCAATAAATTTTATAATATTTTGATACATTAAAAAAATCCAAAACCATAAGTAGATCAGAAACAGGTTTGCTAATTTTCTGAACAGCCAGTGAGCCCCTTCTTCCCTCCCCCAAGATATTTGTTCTTTGTTGGTGTGTCATGAGGTACGAAAGAGAAATACACAGAGCACTGCTGGCTCTGTTATCTTTACCTCAACTACTTCTCACATACCAAATGAAAACTAAACATCCATGATTTGAAAGTTCACATTCTTCTCAGTCAGTCTGACTCTTTATACATTTTTATAGACATAACTATCTGTACTTCAAGCATTTAGCATTTATCAATGCTACTTCAAGCATTCACAGCATTTATCTATGTATTTTACTTGTAAATTTCCCCACAGACTTTTGAAAGTACTTTATTTCAGACCTATGCCATGGAGAGGTTAGTTGGCACTTACCCTTTCAAGTTCCTCAATCCTCTTTTCCAAAGTGTTACTTGGTAGAGAACTGCCAGAAGAATTTGCATCCCTGCTGTATCTGCTGTAAGTTGTCCTCTCTGTTCGGGAATATCTATTTGGAGCGTCATCTTCTGGTGCATTAGCTGTGCTATGAAAGTCAAAGAGCAGACACCTGTTTATACATTTAACTAAATGGAAATGATAGCAGTAACACAACTGCTTTCCAAAGCACTCAACAGGTCAGTCTAATAAACTGCAGAAAACGTGTGGCTGAGAATTCACTAAATTCGCTGCCTCAAAGATTCGAATACCTGGATAATGCAGCTCTCATCCACACGAGTAATCGACTTTAAACACATACTTATGCTTATCCTATCTTACTTTTAAAATTTCATGAACTGTGCACATTAAAAACCAAGCTAAATAATTTTATTTCAAGGAGTAAAGTTTTAAACCAAGCATCCATAAAGGGTGAAAAACAAGTACATGTCCTAAACGTAAGAAGAATATCAACTGACTTTTCAGGAACTATGGATTTGGCCTGTACTCCACTATGGTTGCTATATACAAAACCAGTGCTAATTTAAAAATATGTATAAGTAGTCAACCATTTTCACTCACAAAACTAACAGTTCTCTTCCCATAGCTATTTTCTTCCTAATCGTAATATTACTTACCTTCAACGCAGAACCTAATGAAAAATGAAGAACAACAGAACAGAGTGCCCTGGGAACAGGTAGAGATACTGATCTTTCCCTCTCCAATTCACTAAAACTATACTTCTTAGACTTTGAAAATAAACAGTCAAACTGCCAAAGACCAAAAAAAAAAACCAACCCAAAACCAAACAATCCCCTCTTCTATCTTCACCAGGGAACTCAAAAGCCACATAGAGATTGTCCTCAAAAGCCAGCTCTAGGTGTCCCTGATTGAGCAGAGGACTGGACATGGACAAGATTCCCCTCAGAGGTCCCTTCCAACTTCACTCAGCCTGTGATTCTGCAAAATCACACAGCTGAAGTATGTATACAATGGTTTTCTAGAGCACTTAGGAAAAGAATGAAAAGAACTACAAGCATCCCTATAACATTTCCTTTAAAACAGAGAAGAGTATATGATTAATGCATTCATTTAACAGTTTTGCATTTCATAACTTTAGAAAACCCCTGCTAACCACGTGCAGATTTAGATGGATATAGTGCAAATCAAAAGCAGGAGTATCTGGCAAAGGCATGTCTTTTCATGGATATAAATATTCTTTTGCTCTAGTACGTGTGAAGTTTCCAAGGCACACTGACACAATTGTAAGGAATTTTGTAGCTTAATGTTATTACCATATTTAGCACTGTTTATTCTTCATTCAGGAGATTTTTCAAAAAACGTTTCTAGGACCGGATATGCATGTTACAACACAACATAAGAGAAATATTTTAGCTTAACTCTATAAATTCTAGATTATTTAGCTTTCTAGAAGATGTGTAGTTGTATTCTGCTAATGTCTAAAGGATAGACCACACAAAAAAAAGGCTCAATTTTTCATCACTCAAAAATTGACCCTATTGTCAACATATTGGAGTACCTCAACTCAGCTCTAGCAAGTGATATTGGCAGAAGCTCCTACATGAAGATGAGAAGAAAGAATATCTAGACAGGAAGGGTTTCATTAATACAGAAAATGCCTTAATTTTTCAGTATTTTCCCTGAAATTCACACTCAGAAATTTCCTCGCCTATTCCACTGGGCAACAGACCCTACTGAACACATTCTTTTTCACTGTTAGCATGTACAAATGACATATCAGGAAGAATTCTAGGAAATGGGATTTAAAAATACATTTAAGGAGGCATCAGCCCATAATCTAATATATGGAATGTGACAGATAAAAATTTCATTATTTGTGCTGTTATAGCCAATGTCTAGTACACAGCAATGGAAAAAATGTACCATCCAGGACACAACAGGTGTATCTTTCACAAAGAATGGAATTTTAGTCTTCAGATATGTCACTTTATGAGCATTAAATGTGAAACAGTCATAAAATCATAGAATATGCTGCGTTGGAAGAAACCCATCAGGACTGCTGACTCCAACTTCTGGCCCTGGATAGGACACCCCAAGGATCACACCATGTGCCTTAGAGTGTTGTCAAAATGCTTCTTGAACTCTGTCAGGCTTGGTGCTGTGACCACTGCCCTGGGGAACCTGTTCCAGTGCCCAAACACCCTTGGGGTGAAAAACCTCTTTCTAATATCCAATCTAAACCTCCCCTGACTCAGCTTCAGGCCATTCCCTTGGGTCCTGTCACTGGTCACCACAGAGGAGAGATCAGTGCCTGTCCCTGCTCTTCCCCTCATGGGGGTGTTGAAGACCACAATGAGGTCTCCCCTCAGTCTCCTCTTCTCCAGGCTGAACAGACCAAGTGACCTCAGCCACTCCTCACACGGCTTCCCCTCAAGGCCCTTCACCATCCTCATGGCCCTCCTTTGGACACTCTCTTATAGCTTAATGTCTGTTTTATATTCTGGCACCCCAAACTGCCACAATATTCAAAGGCGAGGCCACACTAGGTCAGAGCAGAGTAGGACAATCCCCCTCCTTGACTGGCTGGTGATGCTTTGCCTGATGCCCCCCAGGACATGGTTGGCCCTTCTGGCTGCCAGGGCACTGCTGACTAGAATAACAGTATCACTGAACTTGGTGTCTCTCTACTAAGAGAAAATACCTATTAACCACCACCACCAAAGATGAGTCTATGGAATTATACCTGTAGGTTAGATACAGATATATAAATATATTTCTAAAAGGTTTCTCCTGGCTGTACTTAAATAAAAACCATATAGCAAAATCAATTCTCATTGCAGTTTGACTACTCTTACAGGGAAACAGAAATTCTGTTTTGGAAAAATGTTTCTAGTTATTTCCTTTACAGTAAAATCAGTTATTCACAGAGGCAGGTTTTAAAGCATTATTACAGAAAGGTGAAATAAATCTTGCTCCTTCCAATGCCTCTTTGATTCTCTCAATGTCTTCCTAAAGCACTGTCCAATTTGCCATTTCATCCAATTAAAATCACCCTGTCAAAATTGTATTTCAACCACAACAATGTTCAATTACTACAGGTTTATTTTCATTGCCAGAATCTTGTAACTACACTTGATTTGAAAACGTCTAATTACTCATGTCTTTGCAATCGAGTCAGTTGCTAACAGATTCTTTGGAAGAAACAGCAAAGGACAATTCTTTCTAAATAGGCCATCTTGGACTTTTGTTACTGCTTAAGCCAAATTTGTGGCTTTCAGAGTTGAGCTAAGGAAAAGAAGTCTTGTCTTCTCTAAAGCTGCATGTTCCTAGTCTGCTCCATTTTTCCCTTACTCTGGCCTTCAGGTGAGTGTGAAACCACTCAAGGAACTGATGCAGCAATCCAGCAGACAAGTAAAAGGAAGCCATCAACTTTCGGCCACATTGGCTTCTTGAAGTGGTACCTTGTCCAGCTGCATGAGCACTGGCAGTGAGAAGTTCAGTTAGTACAACTTAGACCATGAAAATCTTCTGCAGAAACAAAACCTAAGTCTTTAGCATTGATTCAAGAGGGGCTAGAAAAGTCAAGAAAAGCATCTTGAGTGACCCCTGTCTAAAATACACTGTTCGTATCTGCACAGTAGTGATTCTAATGTAACAAGCTAGATGAGACAATGCTTCCACAGCAAAATTCCCAAACACAGGAAGCAGGCAAGTCTGGGCATAGCTTTATGAAACAGTATTTTGCAGCTGTGTTTTTTCTGAATTAGTGAGACCAAGGTTAGTGTGATGGAATGTAAATTGTTATAGTTTAAGTCTTACAGTTACCTAAAAAACACCGAGCAAGATAATTTCAGCAGTGCTCAAACATTTCCTTCAGAGTCCCTTCGATTAGTGCTCTAAAGCACTGGGTTCTTCTCTTCTTATGGTCTCTACTTCCCCATTTATTTTTCAACTCTTGCATGAATGCTAAACTTGAATACAATGTAGTCTTCTGAAATTAGTGCTAAATGGTTCTAGCTCTAGGGATCCAGGTTAACATGCTGTACTATCCGAGAAGAAGGGAAAAAAATCCTCTCTGACATTTTGACTGGAAGCCATAAAAGCATACTATATTGTATCATTTCTGCTAATAAACAAACTTATAGAGGGAATACATCCCTGAACCACTAAGAGATTTTAATCTCTTTCTGTAAACTGATCCAGCTGATCTGTCTGATCCACGAACCATGCAAAAATCTTCTGAGTTATTTTAAATCCTGATCTGCAAGGTTTTTTTTACAATTTTTTAAAAAGAAACTAAACTGGTTCAAAAGCTAGTAGACAATCTTAAAAGTAAGCTGCTAAAACAAATTCTCTGTGCTTATAAAAATATTCCTTTGTCCACATACATATCTTGATTTACTGCTACTTGTAAACAAGCTTTTTGGTTCACAGAATGCAACAGAAACACAATTCATGTTTACATGTAGATTACACTCAAATATTTCAATAAACAGAATACACTTTGTCATTCTCCTGTTTGAGAAATCAGTGATAACACCAACTATACTGACAGCATCAGACCTAAATCAGAAAACCATTCTTACTAATGGCAATGTGCTTGGTGCTTTAAAATAACTCACAAAGCAAGGCAAAAACTGGTAGACCCAGTTTCAGGAACAGTAGTTTGGAATGGCCAAAATGAGGCATATCTCACTAAGAAAAGCTTAGAGAAAAATTAAAAAAAAGGAAGTTGATATGGGTCGTTACAACTGAAGTATAACTATACATTTTAACACGTGAAGCTCACAGTTAGGACACACAGCTCATCACAGCTCCCGTGCACATCCTGTGGCCTTCGTGTCAGCATGACCTTGCAGATTCTGGTCATCCTTTTAATAGATCTCACAGTATCACTCCAGATCACAACAAAACCATCACTTTCTTTTGAAAATATTTTACATGGTTAATCATGCAACTACAAAGGAACCCCTCCACAAAGTTTTAGGGTGTGTGAAAATTTCTGAAGTAAATTCAAAAGACAGACTACAATTATAGAGTAAGATCCTCATCACAAACTTTTATTTAAGTGCATGAGGAGACAAGTTCAGTTTGTCCACGTCAGCCAGAACAGAAGAATAACACACAGCAGCCAGCAGAATTCCTATGTAAACATGTCTTCCAGTCAATGGACACTCAGTGAAAAGGGTTTCCCAGCAATGTCATATAAATGTTCAACCATGGATTGCTGCATCCATATAAGGCAAAGTAGCCAGTGTGTCTGATTAAACAGGTAGTGTAAAATCTGTGCAATTCCTTGAGTCCTACAACATATCAAGAAAACAATGATTCTATGAGAACACACATCACAGAAACTTCTCTGCTCTTAAGTCTCTCTTCTGTTGTTAGGTACAGGAGGCTGGGTATCTCAATGTAGACACAGTCATAGAACTGTTGAGGTTGAAAAAAACCCTCTAGGATCATCAAGCCCAACTGTAAAAAATGAGAACAGCTATATGGAAAGGCAAAAGAAAGGTACTGGAAGCCAGGAATGGTATCAGTAACCCAGGACTGGAAGTCAGAAGAGGACAGAGACAAAACAGAAAAAAAACCCCCAAGTAATCAGAAAAATAACAAACAGAAGACTAGGACCTCAGTGATTAAATATAAGGATGTAAGAGAAAGGGGGAGAGAAGGGAAAGGGTATGTAACTAGCCTAGAAAATAGAAACCAGCAAAGTGAAGAAAAATGCTGAGATGAAGAAATGTCATGTTTGATGAGGAACAATAGGGGAAGAGGGAGAAGGTAAAAAATGAAGAAGTAGGAGTAGTAAAGATGGAAAAAAACAAGCTGAAAATTTCTGACAAATAATTCATTCTTTCTATGGGAAAGAGAGTCTACAACAGAACACAAAATTTTAGGAAAACATATTTCTATTGCTATCAAATGTCTATAAAGTCTACCAACAAACTCTCTCCCACAAAGTATTGACCACCTGCTGTCAGAGTAATGCAAGTAACAGTTTCAAATGGGATCTGAAAGGGTTGTCCCTATGTGAGAACGTGCTTTGCTCTCACAGTTTGCTTTGAAAACCTAAGGAAGTACACCCAAAACTGTTAAAAGCACATTAAGCTCATTTGAGCCTTGAAGCAGCTTCTGATCTCCATTCAGCCTTCACGCACCAATAGTCCAGTTGTAGGTGTAATCACAGAACGGCATTTTCTGTTTCCAAAGGACTTCTAACTGTATTTGGGACTTCAGTGGGGTCTGAGTGATTTGGATAAGAATTACTGGAGAGAAGGCTGCTTTCTCTAAGACCTTCACCTACTGCAGACGTTGGAAGTGGCAAATAAGCCCAAAACAACTCTGGTCCTGACTCCTTTGGCATTCACACCAGAAAGTGAAGCCACTGGGAGACACACTTTAAGTACCCTTAAGTGAAAAATTACTTCAGGGGAGGTAAAAATTTTCAAATATAGAGGAATTAAATAGATACTATAGACTCTAATCACAGCAGGCATTGTATGCCTCAGGAAGTACAATTAGAATAAAACCCACTGAGTATTTGTGAGCACTAGGCACTGTGCTGACAGTAGAAAATAATCCTTTGCTTTCAACATGAAGTTTAGAGACTGTGCAACGAGTAAGATAGGTGGCAACATACAAAAAATATTGAACAGTAGCTTGCAGCAAGTCAGATTCCTCCTGCATGTGACGCCAGTCCTGATGGGGAAAGTTGACAGTGACCTTACATCCCACATATAACTAAAGCTGACTGAGGGAAGACTGCACAACCAAGTCTTATTTAGCATTTTCTAGCATTGGTGCTTCCTATTTTTGCAATGCCAATCAGATGAATTAGCTTATTTTCAAATAAGCTACAAATGTGGTTGTGCAAACTTCTATTTATTACTCCCCCACGCACAACCAAGTTTTTGCAAGTGAGTGAGTATAGAGAGCATGTGAACAGAGATAAGGTTTATGAAAAGCCACAAAAGTATGACACACACCACTAAGTATTCAGCAGATACAAGAAGCAATAAAAGTCTGCATGGGAACCAAAAAGGAATTGAAGACTGAACTAAAACATGCTTGATTAATAAGAAATGAATCATGAAATTATACAGTTACTAAGGTTGTGACAATAAGTCCACCCATTCTGCAGTGACAAAGTGATTTAAAAAAAAACCCTACAACAATAAAAAGCATCACTCAACTAAGTTTACAAGAATCCAGTAATATAAATATAAAAAACAGCAGCACCATGCTAGGAAAGCTGAAGCATAACAGGATCAGTAATTATTTTTTACAGTGAGGGAGGTGAGACTAGAGAACAGGCTACCCAGAGAAGCTGTGGATGCTCCCTCCCTCTAATTGTTCAAGGTCATGATGGATGGGGCTGTGAGCAATCTAATTTAGTGGAAAGTGTCCCTGCCCATGGCAGGGAGGCTGGACTAGATGTTCTTCAAGGTCCATTCCAACCCAATCCATTCTACGATTCTATAGGTGAACAAATTTGAGGGTGGAAAATACACCAGTGATAAGTAGATAATTGGTAGGTGCTCTTTGCACTTTCTTCCACAGCCATGAGATATATATATATATATATATATATATATATATATATATACACATCTAAAAGATAGATAGATAGATAGATAGATAGATAGATAGATAGATAGATAGATAGATAGATAGATAGATATCTAAAAGAGAATGCATCCATGTATCAAATAAAAATACGTTTACAAAAATGTCTTGCTTCAGTTGACGTGTTTTAGACCCCGTGTTACCATAACATTTTCCTAATAGTTGTGATAGCTGTGTTGGTATTAATTCCTCATGGGAAAATATTTCACACACTGGTCAGGTGCATCAAAGGCCTCTGAAATATTTTTCTGACTAAAGAACTGGAGTAATGACCAGAGTCATTACTTTCTTGACTCAAAGACAAACAAATAACAAACAGGACATGCTACATGTGGGCAGCATCTGCTACAACTGAGACAGTTGTATGGACAGTAGTATGACAAAACCACAGAAATTTCTTTCAGTATAACTGTGGAGAACATTATTTACTTTTATTAAACTTCAGAATAGAGTGGTTCATGAACTAACTGTGAAAATACTGGCCCCTAGGCAATGTGCCAAGTTAGACATTTGCTTGGGAAAGTATTCTGTACTAGTAGGTCCCAGCAGAATACTAGCTGAATTTATTTGAAAATAGTAACATAATAGAGGGGTTTGGTTAAGTTTGCTGCACCTTTCAGGTCCTTACCCCAAAATCAAGCTATGTATCTACAGTAGCAGTACGATGATCTCTACTACAAACATCCATTTAATCAGCTTTATTTCTGGCAGAACTATACATGTAAAGAAATTTGCTGTGTACAATGATCTCATACCTTTTATACCTGCTTGAAACCATCCTGGAGGAATCCTAAAAGAAACAAAAAGGAAAAACTAATTAATATTTTTCTTATATTTATACTGCCAAAATACTTTACCACTCTGTAGAAAACTAAGTCTACAGTTAAGAGCAGTCCCATGCTGCCATACAACTCAGTTTTGCACTATTTTGCTGTCAAAGCGTAGACAATACCAGGATTATTGTCACCATGTTACTGCTTCTGAACACCACCTCAGAAGCCTTAAATGTCTGCCTCTGGTTAGTTACACCTGAAAACTGGATACATTTACTCCATCCCCCAGCACGCACAACAGCACACAACCTGCCACCAGCATGCCTTCACTACCACTAGCAGTATGGAAACACTTGTGCACTTTGATAGCTCTTCATCTACTTGTCTAAGAGAGCAAAAATGTTCCAATTTCTCAGCACCACTGTTGTCTTTCTGGATGGGAACAAAAACTGAAGCTGGCAAGTAGAAAAATTTAAACATGTTTCAACTGCTCAGATTTGACAGAGTAGAGTCCACAAATATATTTTAGGATGTTGTAAGAAGAAGAGGAACCAATTATTTTATTACTCATAAACCAAACGCCCTCCAGCAAATAATACGTAAAAAGTCTGGAAAGAATATTTAAGGAGTTAATGAACTGAACAACTGCCTTTACCAGAAAAAAATAAAGGTAAAATATGAAATTCTGTCTATCTAGGATACTAACTGCAGGCAAAGAAATAAATGAGTTCTCAAAACAAGATGCAAGAGAAATTCCATCCATTCTGAAAATTCTAGAAGACATTACACTGCCTTCATTGATTAGCACATCAGTGAGTCTGTAAGTAAATAAACGAGCTAAAAATTAGGATACAAAGAATGTTTATTATTTTACGACAGAAAATGAAATTGACCAAAATATTTGTATTACTAAAAAAAAACTTGACCTGAAAGTGCATTTTATTTTATATAGCATTTTCAACTTCTGCCATATGTGCTACATATTCCCTAATATAAACAGAAGAACAAAATTCAACAAAGGGAAGTCAGGGGAACTATTTAAAGAAACCCACAAAGTGGAGTAAAATTGCTATTTTAACACTGATAACCATTTTATCATTGTTGACAGCATCTGAAAAGTAGCAATTCACAGCTGTAAAACAGTCACCTAAATTCACCTTTAAAAGGGCAAGGATATATAATTTGAAATGGTACCGCCACTATTTTTCAAGTTTATTAAGGGTATGTTATGTTTGAAATGTCATTGGCATCAGGTAGAGGTTTCTGAGGACTGGAAGGAAGTAAATGTCGCTCCTTTCTTCAAGAAGGATCATCCAGGGAACTACAGCACAGTCCTTAGCTCAGTCCCTGAGTAGGTAATGGATCAAATCCTCAAGGACAAGAAGGTGAAATCAGCATGGATATATGGAGGGAAATCATGCTTGACTGACCTCATAGCCTTCTATGACAAGATGGCTTAGTGAATGAAAGAAGAGCACATAATGTTTATCTTGATTTTAGCAAAACTTTCAACACCTTCCCACATAACATAGTATAGGCAAACTGCTGGAATAAGGACCAGGTAAGTAGACTGTGAGATGCAATGAAAAGTGACTTGACTACTGGGCCCAAAGTATTATATACAGCAGCATTAATTCCAGCTGGATGACAGTCTTTGAAGGGGCCAATACTGTTTAACGACTTCATTAATGACCTGAATGATGGGACAAAGTACATTCCCAGCAAGTTTGCACACTACAAAGAACTTGGATGAGAGGTTAACAATATGTCAGGTGGCTCTGTCACCATGGAGAGAGACACTGATAGGCTAGACAATGGCCTTACAGAGATTCCATGAAGTTCAAAAAAAATGAAAATGCAAAGTCCAGGGGCTGGGGAGGAATAATCCCAAGCACGAGTACCTGCTGTGGACTGGTTGGAAAGCTGCTGTGCAGAAAAAGATCCTGGTGGACATCAAGTTGAACACAAGCCATCACTGTGTCCTTGCAGCAAAGAAGGCCAATGGCACCCTCAGGATGCACTGCCAGCATGTTGAGGAACAGCATCCAAAGGAGAGCAACAAAGATACAGAAGGGTCTACAAGGAAGCCACACGAGGAGCAAGTGAGGTCACTTGGCTTGTTCAGCCTGCAGGAGACTGACGGGAGACCTCTCTGCAGTCTTAAACATCCCCATGAGGGGAAGAAGAGGGATAAACACTGATCTCTTCTCTGTGGTGACCAGTGACAGGACCCAAGGGAATGGCCTGGAGTTGTGTCAGGGGAGGTTTAGGTTGGATATTAGAAAGAGGTTTTCACCCAGAGGATGGCTGAGTACTGGAAGAGGTTCCCCAGAGCAGCAGTCATAACACCAAGCCTGACAGCGTTCAACAGGTGTTTGGACAATGCTCTCAGGCTCATGCTGTGATCCTTGGGGTGTCCTGTGCAGGAACAGAATTTGGACTTGATGATTCTTGTGGATCCCTTCCAACTCAAGATATTCTATCATTACCCTCTTCTCTGCCCAAGTGAGACCACAGCTGGTGTGCTTCGGCCAGTTCTGGGCTTCTCAGTATGAGAAAGATATACTGGAGAGACTCCAGCAAAGGGCCACACACATGATTAAAGGTTTGGAGCATCTGACACACGCGGAAAAGCTGAAAGTGCTGGAAATGTCCAGCCTGGAGAAGAGAATGCTCAAGAGGTATCTTGCCAATTTGTATAAATACCTCATTGGGTAAGATATCAAGACATTTCTATCCTTGGAGATAATATAAAAACCCATCTACAGTCCTGAGCCATTTCCTATAATTGATCCTGTTTTGTCTGCAGGGCTTGGACTAGAGACTTCCCAAGATCCCTTACAGCGTTAATGATTTCTAGCTTTACGACAGTCAGCAATGACTGTCAAGGTGATTTGACTCTGATGTATGTGAAGAGATTCAAATTGTTCCATCTAATACATTAATCTAATATATTCACTGTATATGAAACTGAAATGCCACATCAGTAGTATCAGACACAGGTCTTGGTGATGATGGTCTCAGAAACATCTCGGCTGTCCCATTAGCCATAGACAAATGGTTCAATTCCCTTTCTAAGCTTGGATGGAGGGAGTTACAGAGATTACTGGGTCAAAATTTTGCCTGTCTGCAGAAACAATAAAGTAGGAACTCTGGGCTCTAAGCTTCCTCAGTTCTTATTTTTTTCACAACTTTTCCAAGAAAATGCTGAAGTCATAGACATTACAGCTATGCTTCTTAGTGAACATAAGCCTCTGTTAACAGTGAAAGGCAGAAATTGCATGTGACACTGGAGTCCAATGAAGCACACATACCCTTGTACGAAGAAATCTTTGGATCTCGGATGCTTGTTTTGTACTCTAGACGCTAAAGGGATGGAATGAAGGCACCATATAACCCCAAATTTGCTAAGACTTTTTCATACAAATTTGCAAATATAAGCTGTAAAGAAATTTATACACATAGACTTGTACATTTAACTCAATGGGACACTTAAAAGTTAGGCAGTACTATTCAAAAAAGCCAGTTCTTCAGAAAAAGCTGGTAAAGCAAACAAATGCTTAGAGACAAAGTGCATGGAAAATACACTCATTTGCTACAAATTACAGCTGTTAAAACAAAAAACCCCAAACCTTTAACCAATTAACTAGCCCTTTGTAACAGATGTTTCTACAACAAGTATTAATGGGTTTTATTTTTGTAGCTAAAACTAACTACGAGCAACAGTTAACAATGCACATCTGATGTATAAAAAATAAATTCTTCTGACCAACAAATTAATACTGCAGATTTGGTAAATTATTACTTTTATCACTTTGAAATCTCTAACGTAAATGCAAACTAATCATTCTTTCAGGTGATGATGCAAGCACTAGGAAAATATTTCTCTGTTCTCACCTTATGAAATTTATTTTGTGTGCCTTATTTGTCTGAAAGCTGCTGGTAACATGAATATATGTAGTTACACTGTAAACAGCATTATGTGTCTATTAATCAAAAATAATCTAAGCTTTCAAACTACGCAAAAGATCTTAAAATGAGACAAACATCTATAATTTAAGCTCTTGTCTTCATCACCACTTTTGCAGAAGTGAAGGTTGGCAAAAAGTGAAGAACGGGAAGGAGAAAGGAAGGACATCCTTGTTCTGCAAAGAATTAATCTAAAAGCAGATGATTAGTCTTGTATATAAATATTAATTTTCAAATCTTGTTTATATTCTTTAGTATTTTTTAACTCTGTCTTTTAACCCATGTTTAAAATACCTAGTCATTACTACAGAAATGAATGATTTGTCATGAGAAATGACGAGATCAGTTTATTTGACTTCCCTGTAAAACAGAATTCTTTTAACTGTCTGTGGAAATCCTGAACGAAAAAACAATCAATAAAGAAGTAATCCACAACAATTATGCTAATGGTTCCTTTCATACTGGTGAAAAAATATTGCTGCCAAAGACATCTACTAACATTAGTTCTTTGTCTAAGGTTGAAACCGAACACTCATTTCAATGCAGTATTCTGAACACAGCTTTAAAATTATTTTTACTTCTTGCACATATCTCAGGCAGCTTGCATTACCTTTTAACAGTATATATTTTGCTAGTCATTTAATTATTATGTTAAAAAACACTGCAGACTGACATACATCAGCAGTGTGCCAGAAAAATGGTCATGCTACCTTTCTGTCTAGTGTACAAAAGTGATTGTGCGGACCAGTATTAACACAGGTGTGATCTGTGTGAAAATAACCAAGGAAAAAGCAAAGATTTGTCTCATTCCGCATGAGCTCCTTCATGTGATTCACTGAAAAGACTAACACAAAGACACAAGTACCTGTTGCACAAGAGAATGTGTAAGGGCAGGAAATGCAGCTGAGACCATTTCAACTAATGCAACTGTTTACCGCCAATTAAATTTATGTCAAACTAGGATGCAAGGAACTTGGCTAATTCCCCTCTTCGGCCCTGGCTCATCTTGGTATTTCATCTGGTCAACACAGAGATTAAATAAACAAGC